GCGAAACGTTTGCGAATGTACCACGTCCACGGCTCAACTTTGCAAATGATCATGGATACAATAGACTTTGGACTAGGTATTTCATCCAATAGGACCATGTTGCGAAAAAAAGGTAAAACAACCTCGATACAGCGAAAGGAGACTGCGACCAGACAAAAGGCCACACCATCTTGGTATTCATACCTTGGAAGAGACTTTAAGTTTTAATTAAATTTCACCAAAATGTATTCTGATCCAGGATGGACTGCAGTTTATGCAGCGTATAATCCCGACTTCTAAACAATAATTTAATTTAATTTGCCGATTTTTCAACTTACTTTCATGTGAAACCCGCTATTGAGGCATAATTAGTCTCATTGACTGCGAAAAGTTAGGCGAATGAGCAACAATATTTATTAGAAACTTGGTCATATTGGTAGGAAGACTTAGAGGAACGCATCTGGTCCAGGGTCCATTGTATGCATAATTATTTGCAAAGTAGGACTGTGGACGTGGTACATTCCCAGACGTTTCGCCGGCATCGTAGTTGGCATCGTCAGCGAAACGTCTGGGAACGTACCACCTCCACGATTCAACTTTGGAAATAATCATACAGACATTCAACTCCGGACTAGGTATTCCATCCAATATGACCAAGTTGCGAAAACGAACAACTTTTGTACAACGAAAGGAGACTGCGACCAAACAAAAGGCCACACCATCTTGGTAGAAGATACTTTAAGTTTTTATTAAATTTCACAAAAATGTATTCTGATCCAGGATGGACTGCAGTTTATGCTCTGAAACTTATGTTTCATCAGTCCTTCAGAGAGACTCGAACCATGTCAGTGTAGCGTATAATCCCGACTTTTAAACAATAATTTAATTTAATTTGCTGATTATTCAACTAACTTTTCTGTAAAACCCAAATGAATATGAGGTAATCTCATATTATTGAGGCATAATTAGTCTCATTGACTGCGAAAAGTTAGGCGAATGTGCAACAATATCTTTTAGAAATTATTTGACCTTGATTTTCCAACTTGGTCATATTGGTAGGAAGAATTAGAGGAACACATCTGGTCCGGAGTCCATTATCTACATGATCATTTCTAAAGTTGAACCGTGAATGTGATACATTCCCAAACATTTCGTTGGCATCTCCAGTGAGTATCACCATTCTTAGCAGCACACAACAACCGGTCAAAGAGTTGTTGTGTGGTGCTAAGAATGACGATACACACTGACGATGCTGGCTATGATGCCGGCAAAACGTTTGAGAATGCACCACACCCACGGTTCAACTTTAGAAATGAGCATGTAGACAATGGACTCCGGACCAGATGTGTTACTCTAATTCTTCCAACCAATATGACCAAGTTGCAAAATCAAGGTCAAATAATTTCTAACAAATATTGTTGCTCATTCGCCTAACTTTTCGCAGTCAATGAGACTAATTATGCCTCAATGGCAAGCGATTACCTCATCTCGACTCTGGTTTTACAGAAAAGTTAGTTGAAAAATCGGCAAATTAAATTAAATCATTGTTTAGAAGTCGGGATTATGCGCTGCACTGCCATGGTTCGAGTCGCTCTAAAGGACTGATGAGACAAGTTCCAGAGCATAAACTGCAGTCCATCCTGGATCAGAATACATTTTTGTGAAATTTAATAAAAACTTAAAGTCTCTTCGAAGGTTCGAATACCAAGATGGTGTGGCCTTTTGTGTGGTCGCAGTCTCCTTTCGTTTTATAGAAGTTGTTTGACCTTGTTTTCGCAACTTGGTCATATAGAATGGAATACTTAGTCCGCAGTCGATTGTCTGTATGATCAATTCCTAAGTTGAACCGTGGAGGTGGTACATTCCCAGACGATTCGTTGACGATGCCGACTACAATCCTGACGAAACGTCTGGGAAAGTACCATGTCCACAGTCCGACTTTGGAAATAATTATGCATACTATGGACTCCGGACCAGATGCGTTCCTCTAATTCTTTCTACCAATATGACCAAGTTGCAAAATCAAGGTCAAATATTTTCTAACAAATATTGTTGCTCATTCGTCTAACTTTTCGCAGTCAATGAGACTAATTCTGCCTCAATAGCGGGTTTAACATGAAAGTAAGTTGAAAAATCGGCAAATTAATTTAAATTATTGTTTAGAAGTCGGGATTATACGCTGCATAAACTGCAGTCCATCCTGCATCAGAATACATTTTGGTGAAATTTAATTAAAACTTAAAGTCTCTTCCAAGGTATGAATACCAAAATGGTGTGGCCTTTTGTGTGGTCGTAGTCTCCTTTCGCTGTATCGAGATTGTTTTACCTTTTTTTTTCGCAACATGCTCCTATTGAATGAAATACCTAGTCAAAAGTCTATTGTATCCATGATCATTTGCAAAGTTGAACCGTGGACGTGGTACATTCGCAAACGTTTCGCCGGCATCGTCAGTGAGTATCGCCATTCTTAGCAACACACAACAACTTGTCAAAGAGTTGTTGTGTGGTGCTAAGAATGGCGATAGTCACTGACGATGCCGGCGAAACGTTTGCGAATGTACCACGTCCACGGTTCAACTTTGGACATGATCATGCCTTCCTCTAAGTCTTCCTACCAATCAAACAAGGTCAAACAACCCTAAAAGTCTCTTCATATTATCGTGTGAAAATGGATTCATTTTCTTCTCTCTTCTCACAAACAACCCATAATTATACTTTTCGCTCAGGTCACCTCGCCTCCAGCGACATAACCATCCTGACGACAAGTCACCAAGATGACTCCGAACTCTCAGATCACTTGCATCTTGAGGCATCGTTACCCACAGACTCTGTACATCGCCCGTCGATGAACTCAAGCATGTGTGATGACAACGTCTGTGCACAGCTGATGTGTGCAGTCGACAAGGAAATGGCGATTGATGCTATGAATCATGGGCAGAGCACAAATCTAGCTCCACTTAGCGAGGCTGTGAAGCCGGTCTCTTCAATGACTATGAATTTGGAGATTTGTCGAGCCGAGCAGGAAACATGCATCACACAACCTACCGTTGCTCCTCCAGCTCCCTCCACCCTCCAGCTACCTGTCTCCCCTGCCTCAAAGGGGAATTTCCGCGACAATCTGCCACATACCCAATTGGCCAGAAACATGACAGACGCACCACAGACAGAATTGTTTGCATCTCCTCTGCCGGCCAATCGTGAGGCTCGCCATACTTTCGCGCCATTTCAATGGTTCAATGTGGGCCCTCTTGAAGACAGTGCGCCTGGCAACAAATGTCATCCGGTAGACAGAAGTAAGGCCGGTTCAGTCGGTGCAATGAAGGAGGCAAAAGAGAAGAGCATACAGGATTACCCGATCATGGAAGCGACACATGAGCATCCAAAAGAGCCAAAGAATGTTGTATGTGAAATGGAAATGAATGGACACAATTTGGATGCAGCACGAGACGAGCAAGACGATGAAGATGCCGAGGAGGCGGTTTATTCGCCGGATCATGACAAACCAGCCTCAAGTGGCCCCATCATTGTTGAAGGCCTTCCAGAAGCTTCGTCTTCAAACCAGCCTTCAACGGGCTTTGCACTCAGGCCCAGCCTACCGCAGGACTGGTCCTTCTTCTCCAGCTCCAAAATGTGATATTGCCGTCAACCTGTTGTCCGCTTGTCTGTCTGTTTACATGTCTGTCTGTCGACTGGTGGCGAATTTGTGCTTTTTCACAATGACTCCTTCATATTTCCCATTCTGTTCAGGACTACTCACCAGTTTGGAGATTCCAATTCCCACCCGCCCCACTTTCTTCATAAGCATCAGTTCTACAAGCCAATCATGGACAATAGTTTCTATTTGGCGCAGTATTGGAAGCAATCAACACCTGCCCATGGTAGACAACCGCGTATTTTACCAAAAAAAACAACATTCAAAGGGCTTTCAGCAAACTGGGCAATAGTGGACATTTGTTCATACCCAATGTGGATCTAGCATTTCATAGCCCACTGAGAGTTTGAAATGATATATGCATATTTATCCCTCAATGCTGAAGGGATAATCTCTTTTTTGAATTAATATTATATCAGCATTTAATAAGTACGTTATATTATTTTGCTATTTTATAAGGTCAGATGTGATAATCACTACTTCGTAAGTAGTATTTCTTGCAGGTAAAAATACCTGATGTAATTTAGGAAATGGTAATCGAGTTTTCCACAGTCACGATGCCATTCAACTCCACATTGTGATTTCAACCTTGCTCGCCGTCTCATCCGACTCCCTGTAGGATTATTAATCAGATTGTGATTAATTGCCGCCAAGATGTGCAAAATCCGGCTTAGAATCCCCTCGAGAGTGCTGATGCTACCTGTCTCTCTTTGAATATAAAACATTATTTGAAATGAGATGTTTTAGCAACTTGATGATGTTATCATAGCGACCTAGTTGGACCTATCTTGTCCGAAGTCTTTTGCCATGGTATTTGTAATAATTCCCAATGTTGGACAGTCGACTTAGTACATTTCCAGACGTTTCGCTGGCAACAGAGTCGGTATCGTAAGTGAGTCTTGCTATTCTGAGTAGTAAGCTATAACTCTTGGCACTTTAACGTGTTTCAGTTTGGTGCTGAGAATGGCAAAATGTACCAAGTCTACTGCTTAACGTTGGGAATTATCAAAAATATGATAGTAGAGAACTTCGCACGAGGTGGGCCCAGCTGGGCGTCTCTCTGAAAACGTGACACAGTTGCGAAAACGAGGTCAATCTACTTCTATTCATAGAAAGGTGACCACAAACAGCTTAATCATAATATTCACAGGTTAATTCAATCCAATGCAATGTTAGAAAAATGTAACTACAAATCATAAAATTGCTTTTAGGGGCTGACTATATATTTATATTTAAGAATTCAAGTTTACGGAGCATTTGTAGGCAATTCAATTTTAATTTTCGTATTAGAGTAGAGTTTAGAGACTACCAGTAAATCAGTAGTATGAGATGTATTCACTCAATTTCGTCG